CTTTATGTTACAAACATATAAACAAGTTACTATGGTTTTCCGATCGAGTATTGATGAACTTTTGATTCACCTTTCGCAGCTCCAAGAGCTATAGATATCCTTTTCTTGAAGTTTAAGTCTATTCAGTGAATCAAGAGATTATATCACATATGAATGATTTACGGACCGACGTTTATGAGTTCATTGCAATACAAATTACGTACCATGTAGATGATCTTGCAGGCTACCGTTAACCAAATTCTCGTAGACGATCATTTGCTGTCCGTTTTCGCAGCAGTAACCGAAAAGATTAACCACATTACGATGTCGAATTGTAGACAGATAAGTAACCTGAGATGCACAACACACACATAACCAACACACATTGTTTTTCCATACCACACATATGAAATGAAATCAACCAGTTTTGTTTACCTCAGCCAAGAATCTAGGATGAAGAGAACCTGAGAGCTTTTTGATCGCCACGATCGTATCTCTAATCAGACCATTATAAACTGGTCCAAAACTTCCGGACCCAATAAGGTTACTCTCGCCAAAATTGTTGGTGGCTTGCTTTAATTCCTCTATGGAGAATTTAAAAAGGTCTTGTGACATCCCTTGCATAGTTGCAGTGAATTACATGAGAATCAAATGTTACACAATAGTTCATGATTTTTATTTATTTATTTATTTGGTTTGGAGACATTAAAGTTGCACTAAAACGCCCTAAATTCTACATATATATGCAATCAACCAGATAAAATCTATAACATTAAGTTGTGGTTATCATTTCAAGATTAGATTTACCAAGTCTTTTGTTGTTGCTGTCACAAACTCGAGTTTTGCAGAATGTTTTGTAGATCCAGAATAGTGCAGTTACAATCACTAAGATTGCAAATGCAGCCACAATGTATACAACCATTAAGGTGTTATGTTTCAGCATCCAGAAGAATCTGTTCATGCCTTCAGAGAAAGGAAGACAATATTATGAACATATAATATAATGGCACTAATTCATTAAATCTGTTTTTGTTTAGATTATGTTGGTTTTAATCAATTCAACATTTGAAAATACATATCGAATTAGTGCCAATCGATCAACTAGTTGAATTGAAGTCTTAACATCAAACACACACTATTTAATTTCTTTTAAAAACAAATTACGCGCGTAAATTTAAATTTTAAGAGAATAGTGCAAACTATAAATAACAACCATACAATATATATTGATTTGAACTCTTAAAATCAAACACACTATTAATTTTTTTTTTAAACAAATAACGCACGTAAATTTGAATTTCAAGATATATGATCATATAGTCGTGGATAGATGATCTCATACCTTTTTCATATACGTTCATGACTGAAGCTTTTTTTTTATGAATCTATCGTAGTATATCTTTTTGGAATAAGACCATACATATAAGATCGAGCTAGAGATTCAATGATAATTTTTTTTTTTGAAAAAAGATTCAATGATATTTTGTTGTATAGTGTTTCTGTACATAAACAATTTTATTTGGAAACTTTTTAATTAAATGGTAAAAGACTAAAAGTAAAATAAATACAAAATGTTTTACAACCTTTTTAGGAAACTCAGTTAAGAAAATTAATTGAGCCAATTGGAGAATCCCAGACCTTATCTAATTAATGTTTTGCAGTGTCAAATCTACCAAATATTTTGATAAAATAGATTTAATTAATTGATATTGTTTTCTGTCAAGAATTTACAGATATTTTTGAAAAAAAGTTCTTTTTTTTTGTTTGGTCACAAGAAAAAAAGTTCTTAAAGTTAAAACTACATATATTTATCGGATGGCTTTTATATAGTTAACATATGTTGCATGATCATATGTTTACATTGCCAAAAAAAGAATTTGTTGACTTTATTTGTAACTCTTAATTAGTTTGTGCTCTAGATTTCTTACTGAATTGGAAAATATCTGGATCTTGGGTAGTCATGAGCAAACTTAAAAATGACAACAAATAGTTTGATAAATGATTAATATCAATTGGAGCATTTTTTTTTTCGAAAAAAAAAACAATTGGAGCAATAAATTTTATAACCATTTTTCTCTACTTATATATTCTTCTACAAATATGTCACTTTCATGCATTTTCCCATGCTTCCCTTTTGTCCTCCTCGTGAAAATATTCAAGGGACTCCTTGTTCATGTCCCATTTGAAAAGAGTGTAGACGACACTTAGTTCCGACAGAGAACTATGTGGACATCGTTCCGGAACTCTTACCATTTAACCTGATAAATATAAAATTTTCAAAAATCTTGTATAATGTTTTACGTTTTATTTTCCTTAAACTTGAAAATCTCATACTCATCCATTTTTAGCAGATTCATAGGTAAGTTATGTTTTTGCTTATTATCATTACCATTTTAAACGAAGAAAGAAAAAAGTAAAAAAAATAAAATATATATCACCTTCTAAGCCTAATAACCAAATAAAATATGGCAAAAGAAAAGAAATTAACTTCTAAGGAGTGAGATATATAGCAGAGATTTCTGTCCAAAATGGGTTATAGTTAATCATTAAATCAACCTCCACATAGACATATATAACACTCAAAATAGGATCTTCACATATGCTTTAATTAAACGTACATAAAGTGAAGACACTTTCAAAGGTCAGAGTAAAGATCGTAATATAAAATCTCTCAAAACACAAGAACACACCCACTTAGTACTAAAGCCATAAAGCACCAGCATCCTTGAGCAACTTTTTCAACGATCCATTGAGATGAAGAGTCATGACGGTATTAGCCGTTCCTACGAACTTTCCTCCCACAAAAACCGCCGGAACCGGAGGGCTGCAGCCTAACCGGGCTAAAGCCCACTCGATATCTTTCCCATACATGTCTTGGTCGATCTCTATAATCGCCGGGCTCACACCTTGCTCGTAAAACAGCCGTTTAATTGCATGAGACATGCAACACGTACTCTTGCTGAAAATCACCACCGCTCTTTGCGACGCCAATCTTGCTACGACATCCATTTGTATAGTAATATTCTTTTACTGTGTGTGTGTGTATATGTCTTTGCTTTGAGTCGTTCGGAGATTCTGTGTTGATGTGTTTGTTTTGGAGAAGTGAGTGTTGGAACTCTATATATACACATACTCAACAAGTAAATCCTTATGAAGATATATAGAGGTATCTTTGATTAATGATGGGACAACGTTAAAGGGAGAATCTTATTTTGTGTGAAGCTGGATTGTGGTTTGTAGATAAGAGAAGCAGATAATATGATGCTCCAGAGTTGACAAATGTGAGTAAGATAGTGTAGAGTGTACTATAGA